CGAGGAGCCTCCAAGTAATCTTACTCCAACGATACCCCCCAATAAAACATGTTCCGTCTGTAAACGGATATATCAAAAATCAAAACATAATTCAAGTCAAGTATCATATCAGAATCCATGTCATGTATCAGATCAGAATCCATGTCAATATCAGATCAGAATCCATGTCAACATCATAACAGAATTCAAATCAGAAATCAGATAAAATATTCATGTAATTATGGAACACACCAGAGTTTACAGGTATTATTTAGAGGTACTGTATCAGGCAGAGAAACACAGTTCTTCAGTATGTCGATAGAATGTTGGAATTTAGAATCACCATTGGAAGAGTTCATTAACTGACAGAATCATCAGTTATTCAGAATGTGAACTATCAGGATCATATCTTATTCAAACAATTTTCAGAAGCTGTACGTAATCAGAAGGGTATTCATAATCCTTTACATCCATGTCAATTGATCGGATAATCGAATAACTTGAGAACGAAGATTTAGAACCTTAACAATCGATGTCGACTGGTCAATTCATTTTCCTTCTAGGGTATTTACTCTTTAATACCATAAATTCTTGTCCATAAATCATCTTCAGAATCATTGCTGAATAGATATTCCAATGGTCTTTATTTCATTTCCAAGGTTCCACTATATCATGAAATACTGACGTGCTTGATTTGTAATTCATAATCCATAGGGATGATACATCACGTAAGTTCATCCGAGTTTTCAGGCTTATTTCAATCTCTTACTTAATCCTCAGTCCTTGAGGATACCTAGTTCATTTAGCAGTCAAGTCTATTCCAGTTACTTCGGAACATTCCATAGTAATTCTGGACGTTCCTAATTTCGGATACATACGGTACTTCCGTTCAATTCAATTTGGTCTGCGTGGTCGATTTATCTAACAAATATCAATTTCTTATTACCGAATGCGATCTAGAGTTGAGCTGAACTGAGTACTTCCAAAATTATCATTGAACCACACTTGAGAAGAAGAACACACCTTCAACTGATACCTATGTTGTTCAGGTACTGGCATATAATTACGGTTGATCGGCTCACTTAAGTTATTCCATAACTTCTAAAGATAGTATAACACCTATGCTTATTTGGATTCCTTAATTAATCAAAGACATTTACTTAATATAGGCCATAATGGTATTTTGGTAATTTTAGTGTTCAGTTTTATTCCATTCATTTCAGAGCTCGAGGATATCCAATCATTCCTGAGCTTGATGGTATTCTTGGGTCATTTCTATTACAGGGGTATTTTGGTCATTTTACAGATTCAGTGTATTTCAATCCTTTCCTTCCGTCCGATCTTACTATTAAATTCAATCTTATCATTTATTTTAGTCCTTTCGAACAATTCTGACAACAGAGCACCCCGACAAATTATTCTTCAGGTATTTACTCATAACTCGGATATTTCTGGGTCAAGTTTCTTCTCAGATTTTACAAACGGAATATCAGGAATTTTCCTGAACTAAGTCAGGATCTTAACAATCAAATCCGTACTTAATCGAGTTAAGTACGAATCCTCAAAGTATTTTCTCATTCAGGGTTAACTCGGACTAATTTATCTCTCAAGGGCATTTCCGTAATTTCTTAACAAGATAATTTCAATATTAGCTCTTAACGAAAATAATTATAATTTAGAGATCCTATGATCAATTGTTTTCCCGAACATTCTCTTATCTTGAAATGATTCCTTAAAAGAATTCTAAATATCTTGCACAAACCCTCTAGGGGTTAAAAAAATCGGTTATCCGTATTTCGTAAGCAAAATCTAGCATTTCTTAAGCACATCTGTAGTTTTATTATATCAATATATCCTTTCAGAGTTACTAATCAACTTCCAGGGATAATTCTTGACATCTTACAACTTAAGGGTATTTTCATAATTTTACCCTACCAGAGTATTATCATAATTTCTCATCCAAGTACCTTTAACATTTAACCTTTGATGAAATAAACTATAAGTTACAAATCCATATTGATTTCTTTATCACTAAGCACATAACTTGTAATTTAATTATAACAATCCTTTAATTTCTTATAAAAATCATCTGAACCATAATCAATTACTGAACCCTTTTACCATATTCAGATCGAGTGTAGAAATTAATTAACTACATAATTGAGACCAACATTATCTTAATCATGCATTTATCAATATTCACATGTTCCATAAAGCATAAAGAGGTAGTAAAGTATTATCTCGATTTTCGTGCAATACTGATCGACCATAAAAATTCCATTCGAACGCCTTTGATCTTCAATTCAACTTCCAATAATTCATCAGATACATATCAACATAAATTATATCAGAAACATAGCTTAATTGTAATAAACGGATCGAATCGGGTGATAAATCAGTGAAAAACAGCTTATCGGGTTCGAATTTGGCGAAACGGACTTCGGATTCAGGACGTCGAAAGCATAAAATGTGACTTTTCAAAAATTTGGAAATTTCGGTCAAAATCAAAGTCAACTGGTTTGACCGACAATTTCAAGGCCTTCGGGTTCGAATTTCGAAAAACAGATTGCGGAATCGAATTTGGAACGTCAAAAAATGTCAGGATAGGTATACTCAATCAAAATCAAAGGTCGTTTAATACCCGGTCAAAGCTAGTCAAAGATTTTGGTCAACAATGGTCAACATCGGTCAACGGGTCGGGTAAACGGGTCGGGTAAACGGGTCGGGTCGGGTTATGACTGGTCAAATCGGTCATTTTTTTCTTCCCCACGCGCAGTGGCGGCGCGTGGGGGTGCGTGAACAGTACTAAATTCCCGGAAAAATTTTTAAAAATTATTTTGAGCGATTTCGAGATACTTACAAAGCTCGGTTCACAATTTTGAACGGCGGAGAGCTCGATTTCAAAAAATCGGAAACTTTGACCGCTTCACCTCCTCACGCGCCGCCGTCGACGGAGACCAAGGATGACACCGGAAGACTCGGAATGATTCAAGGAACACGATAGTGCGGGAGGTGTCGTAAAAGGATGATCGGATCGTCGTGAATCGATGAAAAACCAATTAAAATCGAGTTATTACCAACGATACTTCCGACTGAAATTAACGACGAACGGCGACGATTCACGACGAAAGGTTTGAGGAGTTTTGTTCCTTGGTTGACAACGAAAACGATGGTGGTTTCGGCTCGTCGATCGGAGGTCAGACGGCGAGTAGATCGAAGTTGAAAGGAGGGTTGTTGGAGAAGGAAAATATGAAAATATGAAACCTGCGCACGGGGGAAAACTTATAATTCATCATATATAAGAAATGTTTAAATCATGAGTTTAGCCACTGAATTTCCTTTACTTTATAAAACGGTCTGTCAACTTTAAAACTTTACAATTTAATCCCCAATTTCTTCCAAAAATACCAATTAAATTCACCACTTTATAATTTCTTAAATTTTAACCCCTAAATTGGGGTGTTACAGAAATGCTTATGCATGCTTGGTTTTGACATGTTACTGTTTCCTTATTCGTTGATGATGTAGAAGTTTATATCTAGATTTAAAAGGTTAGTAGAAGTCTCGGGTCTGAAGTATTGGAGGTAATTATGCGTGCTTGTTTGATGGATGAATCATTATTCAAATATCAGTGGAACTTCAAAATTCTGTTTCTGATTGTTATTGTTGAAACTAGTCTGTGTCCCCATTTCAGTCCATTTTCTTTAGTTCGGAGGACTAATACATTGTTGAGCAAGTGATTTAATTTTTAATGATAAATCCTGCTCAGAGTGTGCTTATCAACCTTATAAATTTGATATCTCAACTACTTTATCAGATAAACAAAACAGTGCAATCCTGGAAAATATTGTGAGATATGTGCATAGATCTACGCAGCATACTACTGTCTTCCTACATTCGTGAGATGCAAATATTACTTAGCTGGGACATTTCAAAATTTTGTTCTTTTTCCTTGGGAATAAAAAGGGTATGATATGTTGAGAGTTTAAAAGTGAATAATATAATTTGGTGAAGTTCTAAGGTAATGAAATAAGTGAAATTATCTTTTGTTTATATTATTAAATTAACGGGGAGAAAGACATTATACACATCTATTCACATACATGAGTAACTTGAGATATGCTGATCTTAGAGTAGCACATTTCTATTATCAGTATCTTGTCTTAAAGTCTTTTAATTGAAGAAAGAAATGTTTTTTTTAGTTGTTGTCCTTTCTCCTTTAACAGGTTGGAGATCAGAATGAAAAGCTTTCTGAAGGTATCAAACTTTATGCAGTATCAACCACTGCAACTTCAAAGCAGACCGTTCTTAGTGATCTCATAACAGTAAATAGTTTTTTCTCTTACTTTTTCTCAGTTTCTCTCTATTTTGCTATAAACTGAAGTCATTGATGAAGTCTGTCTATTACTTGTAATGAGTTTTTTCTTTGTATATGTTTCTTTTCAGTGGTGAGTAATAAGATTAATTCCAGATGCAATAGGTTTATATTTATGTGGTAAAACTCTATTTAGCAAAGGATTCTCATGTTGATATTATTCTGTGTAAGCAACATCTTCTGAGTTATCTCGCTTTTTTGCCATTAGCTATTAATGTGTTCTGTGTTCCTTAAAATTTTCAGTAATGGATTTGGTTCAAATGTTGGATTGTTATTCTTAGTTCAAGCTTTTGGTCTCAAAAGCCTCTTAATTTAAGTCCTTGGTAGTTTTATTTTTCCATTTTTGTTGCCATCATCTTGGCCCTACTGAATTTATTTGATGTAAGGCTTTTTAAAAGCACCAACTTCATAAAAGTAAAAGTGCATTCCTAGCTTTAATATTTTTATCAATGTGTCAAGTGTCAACACCCAAATTCCCATCATTTGCAGATCATACTAATTCATGTATTAATCAAATGTAGGAGTTTCCTTCCTTATCCATACTTTTATTTGTTCTTAAGAGTATTTGATCATTTGGCTCTCAGACATGAATGCAATGTTGTTATGCTACTTATATTTGCACTAATCAAAGTTAATATATGTTCACCACCATGAAAAAAACTGAATCTTGTCTGAATCTTCAGGATTATGCGAAGGGTGGGAAAATCATTGTTTTTACACAAACAAAACGAGATGCAGATTATGTGTCTATTGCTTTAACAAATAGCATAGCTTCTAAGGCATTGCATGGTGATATTTCTCAACATCAGAGGGAGAGAACATTGAATGGATTTCGACAAGGAAAATTTACTGTGCTTGTTGCCACTGATGTTGCATCTCGCGGTCTTGATATTCCAAATGTTGGTCTGGTACAGTACCAAAATATTTTTGTTCTTTAAACTGTATAAGTCATCTTGGGCCTGTCATTATGTTATTTCATGCTAATTTGGACTCCTTCCTGGCTATTAATTTTACCACTTTTTGTTTTTTGCTGTTCTTTCTGCAGGCAAAAACATTGAATAAATGAAGACGGTTAAAATGTTACACCAATTAACAATTTGCATTTTTATCCATAGAGGCATTACTTTAGTTCCAAACAAATATTGTTGACCCTTTAATCATAGGAAGCAAAAAGCAATAGTGAAGGTACCTGTTAATTATTACATATTTAAATAGTACTTAAAAAACCCATGACTTATTTTGAAACTCAAAGCAGTTAACTTATTCCTAATTAGAATTGTTAAGCATCCAACCTAAAACCAATTGATAATAGGTGCGGTGGCTCAATTTTATATAAGACCACAGGAAACCTTATCCTTAACTGATGTTGGATAACACCACTTAACATGAATGGTATGGCATTTGAAGTTCTTTTCATCAGTCACTCATGCTTAGAACCCGAGTTACTGTTTGATACTTATGCATTTAGTGGCAAAAATATGTGTCATCTATAAAATATACATTCATACTATGTTGATGCTCACAAGTTACAAATTTTCTGTTCCCAATATTCATGCTCCTTTTTTCTTGATTGTAGCATATATGGAAAGGTAAAATAACTATTACCTGTATTCACTTTCAAAATGTGGAATTGCTTTCTAAAGGCCATACTGAGAAGACTGGCATTTATCACCGTTTTCTCCAGGTTATCCACTATGAGCTTCCCAATAATGCAGAGACTTTTGTGCATCGCTCTGGCCGTACTGGACGGGCAGGGAAGAAAGGTTCTGCGATTTTGATGTATACAAATAGCCAAAGGAGAACTGTCAAAACTCTTGAACAGGACGTTGGGTGTAAGTTTGAGTTCATTAGTTCTCCAGCTATTGAGGATTCATCCCGGTCTCTTGTTAGCCATAAAGAGGTAAACTATAGTATACTTTCAGTTCTAATCGGAGCACCTGATTGTGAAATTACATTCAACTTTGCTCGTCTCCCCTGGGGACAATCTAGCTCTTGGTATTGGGACTCCTATTTTGTGGTGGTGTTGAGTTCAAACCCATTGGAAGGAGTTTAAAGGACAGGGAGGCTATGTTAGTCCATGTGTTCCGAATTTTTTTTAAGTGGCATGTATCTCTTCCCTCTTGTGTTGTTTGGCTTGGTCTGTTGAAAGTGAATGCATTATAGAATGTGGTTGTTACCATGCAAATGGCTGGTACTCGCAATGCAATGGTTTTTGTTGTGCATTGTTCTGTCCCTTTTTTTTTTTGGTCGTCTTCTTTTAGGTAAATCCTAGTTGCTTTTTATTTATAAACATTTCCATGTCTACTGGCATCATGATATCAACTAATCTCTTAAATGCAAACAACCTCTAATATGTATTGGCAGCAACCCTTCTATATATATGCATATACATCAAAATGCTGTCAACTGGAGGGTCAGTGTTGCTCATTGGACTTGCTTCCGGATGATGGCCATGTCACTTATGTTACTATCATCTAATTCATTATTAATCTAGCTACGGTTCCTTGGTAGCCATCTTGGAACACGTGTGTGTCCATGTGTATTATCACACTAAGTTGATTTTGTGTATTTATTTCTTCTGGCAGTTGCCAGCTTTGCACGATGATGGCCCTTCAAGTGATTATTATGGCAAATTTTCTTCAAGGGGTGGCTATCCACGAGAAATTAACAAAAGTCCGAAAAGTTTGAGGGCATCTAGGGGATGGACCAATGGCCGAGACTCCAATAATGAGGTTCGAGATGGAAGAAATAGTTGGACGCAGAGTTAAAAAGGCAGTCGGGATAACTGGCTAATTGGCAGTAGCAGATCAAACAGGTCATTTCCAAAAGGTGGTAGGGATGACTGGCTAATCGGTAGTAGCAGATCAAACAGGTCATTTTCGAAAAGCGGTAGGGATGACTGGCTAATTGGTGGTAGTAGCAGATCTGACAGGTCATTCTCCCGTGACAGGCATGTCTTTTCCCTATATTCTCTTGTAATGAATATCTTGAACCCTTTATAATTTGTGCCAAGTTCTATGACATCCATGCACCATTCACTTTCATCAAGATCATCATTTAGGGTAGAAGTTCAATTGTTTCAGGGCCAGGAAATAAATGAGAACATAGAAAACTTGCAACTAGTATAAAGATTTGAAGTTGACCTCTCAATTTGTGTACAGAGGCTTTGGAGGTTCATGTTTCAACTGTGGATGCCGTGGGCATATGTCGTCCGACTGCCCCGACAAGTAACACATCTGATATTGGTTCGATATCAGTCTTCCAGACTGACTTGGGCTATCTCAGAATGAAACTTCGATCGGGCATTTGGTTTTGACAGACATTGGCCGTGGAGGGAAGAGAGTTCCCCAAATATTGTTGCTATTGTGGTCTGCCATCACCCCTTTCGATTTGCGAGGGAACTCATGTTGTGGTGGTTGTGGCTATTCAATCATTTGCTACAGGGGGCTTTTTCACGTTATTGCCATAAGATGTGCAATCTGCCGAGACCAAAATTTTTCAATTTTTACATGTAATTACTTAATCAAATTTGGTTATTGAAAAAGTTAATATTACATTTGCTTTCTTTTGAGTCATTTCGGGTTTAATTTTTAACCGCCATATTTAATTTATTATAATTGTATTATAAGGGATGATTCTCTCAATATTTAAAGATCCAAACTTATTTAAATGATCTAATGCCTCGTACTATTAGATTGATTGATTATTGACAATTAATTAATTAGATCTTTAAACTATGGAACATATGGCCATTTTTTTCTTCACGTTCTTAGTCTAAAAGAAATAACAAGGTTCGTGGCACTGTGTCATGCTTTTAGAAGTCCAACGACACATCTATAAATCAATCGGGAACTACCAATAATCATCAGTTTCAAAGGGATGTTTCTGAAGTTATTAATAACCTTCCAACATCATCGGAATCGGATCTAAAAATAGACAAAAATAAGAGTTTTTCTTGGAATGTCAAGATACAGAATCTGAAAGTTATAAGGCTGATTCATCGTGTCAATGTCTCTTTGAGCCTACGAGGAAACAGACGCCATTAAGCTGATATTCTCTTGGTTCACAATCACAGCTTCTTTTGAAGAACTGGAAATGTATCCATACATATATATACATAAATACAAGTAGAACAATTAATTCAAAGCGTGCAGGATGGTATTGTTGTCTTTGATTTGATGGGATTAATGTTTTACAGGTACTGAAATGAACTTAGGATCGAACCGTCTCAATGGCTGCAACTAAGTCGTCAATTCGCTCCTGTCACCTCCTTTACTACCTTGTTGTGCTCAGTATCTTGAACGTTGGAACCACCCTTATGCCAAGCTCCTTCACCAATGGCTGCGAAAATCATTGCCAAATCCTCTCGTCGTCACATAGTTTCAAAATCTTTTAGACTGTGTTTAAAGCACTATATAGAATATACATGCTCAATATAGATGAACTAATTCAACAAAACCTACATATATGTTAACAAATGCTCACATATTTGATCTCAGGGATAGGCGCCGAATTTTATGTCGGGAGGAACTTATAAAATTTTAGAAGCGAAACCAGATTATGAACAGAAATTACAAAGAAATAACTAGAATATATGAGAATTTAAAATTATCAATGAGCGACTGCCTCCGCCAGCCACCTCCGTCTATCCCTGGTTGATCTAACTAGCCGATATGGAAATAATCATAGGATTACCCTGTTTTCTTGATTGCAATCAAGCTTTAGAAAGACAACGTCAAGGTACTTCTCAGACATTCTTGATACTTGGGAGCTATAACTTTGCAAGGACCACACCTAAAACATTAAAGCAAGACGTGTAATAAATCTGATGCAAAACTAGCGAAGAACAAATTAAAAACTACTTTTATCCCAAACTTGAGAAATTATGTCCATTTTTAATGGAATTATTCATCCAATTAAATAATTGACATGCAAGAAGCCATAATCTAATTAAATAAAGTAATGAGTGAAGTAAAAGATCAAACTGAGCTTTTCAAATTTTTAAACATTCTAACTCAGCTAAATAAATTTCCCAACATTTAGATTAATTTGAAAAGTAAGAGAACAACAGCAAACAGTACTACCTTAGCTAAAATCCTGACATCACACTAACTGTATCTAATTAACAGAATACGTCGGCATACCGTACATACGCCTTTTTAAGTAGATACAACAGATATATGTGATTTATATACGTAGTTACGTACCATTGAGTGTACATATCGAGGACGACGGTTTTATCTTCGGCAGCGTTAACGATGGGCCAGAATGTGTCCTTCGTAACCTCCGTCACCTGCCCCACCGTTGCTCCCGCCGTTTTCAAGGCTGGACCTCACCTTTCCGACAGCGCCTTTTCTTTATTATTCATGGAGCTCGAACTAGAGGTAACGGTCTTTAACGACGACGATCTTACAAGAAGAAGGAATTCGAAGTGGAAGAAACGCTACAGGAGGCGACGATGGGGTTTGCCGCCGCGCCTGAAAGTGACGGCGAATAACGGATGGTTGAAGAGTAGAGACGGTTGATTGGAGGAGCGACATTTTTTATAAATTAATGAAAAATGGAAGAAAAAAAATAAAGAAAAGATAATCAATTAGGTGCACTTGCCGAGTTAGGGAAGAAGCGAGTAACTAAATTTTATATAGAAAATGGAGATAGTTTTTAATTGTTTTCGTGTAAATACTATTTCACCCTTGCTAAATATGAATTCTTGTGGAACTTGTTTAGATATTTTGGTCAGAAGATGAAATTTCAGTGGGAAAATGAGAGGTGTAGGACTAGGAGAGGAGGTGACGTCGAAATACGGAGAAGATTCATTTTTGGGATGTGAAAAGACGATATTAGACTTGAGATATTTGATGAGAACTTCTTGAACAGTCTAAGAATAGGGGTGTTTTTGTCTGTTAAATGATTTTATGGGTCCAAGTCTGGCTTCTGCCACACATTTGATAAATGAGCAGTTTCTGACAAACTGGAAGACTTCAAAAAAATGTTCCAGAGGATATTCCTGTCTAGGGCTTACGTGTCAAATATAGTAATCCCAATAGAATTATCCAAATCGCTCATTATTCACGGGTGTGTCTGCCGTGAGGCAATTAGTTTAAATTAATTTAAGATGTAATCGGTTCAAATATTTTATGAGTTCAATTAGATTGAATTGTGTAAACTTTCGTTTATACTATTTTATATTAAAAAAAATTATGATTATATATATAATTAAAATTATATATTATACAAATTGTTTAAATTTTAATTTACACAAATTTATTTATTTTAATGATCTGTTTTATTTAGGTTGTAGCATTTAAGGGATTTGTTATAAAATTTAGAATTTTAGGTTTGATTTTTAAATTTTAGATTTTGAATTAAATAGATATTATATAAATAAATTTAATACAATTTATATCAAATAATAACGTATATTAAGTGACCTTAAATTTACTAAACCTAAACTAACAAAAATCACAAGCTCATCCGTGCTCCATCTTCATGGAGGACCAATTAACTAATAATTGTCACAACATATTTAGGGTAAGTTTATTTCACTGAAAATATTTTTCGTAAAATGAATTATATCTTTTGAAAATGTTTTATGATGTTTGGAAGATGTTATGTAAATTATTTTTCACTAGTTGATAATTTTTTAGAATTATTTATTATAAATATAAAATATAATATATAATATATTTATTATAAAAACTTATATTATTATTTTAAAAATATTAGAATAATTTATTTAATACTATTTATGCCAATATTATTATTAAAATATTATCATAAGAATATAATATTATCAGAATAATTATTTATTATATTTTATTAAATAAGAATATAATAGTATCATATATTATAATAATTGAGTATATTATTGTAGTATTATTATTATATTATATTATATATTAACAATATTAATAAATATTTTTTAAATATGTTAATAATTAATATTTTGATTAAATGATATTAAAATATCATATTAATATTAAATATATAAAATAATATTATTTTGAGTATGCTTTGAAGTGAAAAGTTTAGAAAATGACTTACGGAAAATTAAACCGTAAGTCATTTTCCAGAAAATGCAAAGGAAATTCTGTTGACTAGGAAAATGTTTTATATTAATCAATTTGTTTTCCTCCAACCAAACACTGAAAAATGAGAAAAAAGTTTTCCGAAAAATGTTTTACGTGAAACAAACTAATCCTTATTTTACTCTCATGGTACATATTTTCTTTGTTCTTGTGAGCCACTTTATATAATTTTTTTTATTTTTTTCGTATATTTTTTTGGTTGTTTTGGTATTTTCACAAATACTCTCTTAACATTTATTTTTAAATTGATTTATCGATGATAACGTGTAATTAGATCATTTTTTATAAAATATTATTTGTCAATATAATCAAAAATGTATAGTGAAACAGCCTACAAGATAGTTTAGTTCGTTCACTATTCCTTTACCACTTTGTAAAACGTTTTTTTCAATAGAGAAAAATAGTTTTTATGAAGATTACTTGATTTTTTATATTAGTTGTCCTAAGGAAATGTTTATTCTTTTTTGTATCTTTGGTTTAATTTTTTTTTATGTGATTTTTTAGTTATTATTGTCTCCAATTTTCTCTTTATGTTGTGCTGTAATTTTGATTCATTTTATTATTTTTATTAATGAAATCTAGTTGTCATTGTTCAAAAAATATTAATTAACTAATATTATTGAGATTTATTTCATAATAAAATTTTAATATTTTTTATTCATAAATTTTAAAATAAAATATTTAAAAAAATTATCAAACATAAATGCTGTGATACATGGATATTTAAATTTTAAATAGTATTTATTTAAAAAATTATTTTTTAAGATAAACAAAGGTACTTAATTGATCACAACGTCAGTGCTCTATATGTGAACGGAGATATTGTAAATTAGAGGATGGGCTTGCTCCTAACAAGGTTACCTATACAGTTTTGGTTGAATGGCGTTGTAGGAATAGGACTGTTAAAAAGGCATATGAGCTTTATAAAGAAATGAAATCCATGGGTATACAACCTACTGTTTTTAATGTGAATTCCTTGATTCATGGATTCTTAGAAGCCTGCTCGCTAAATGAGGCGTCTAGTTTGTTTGATGAGGCAGTTGAGTCTGGCATTGCCACTGTTTATACATATAATATTTTCTTATACCATTTCTCTAAGGATGGTAAAGTGAAAGAAGCTTGCAGTTTATGGCAGAGAATAATGACTAATGGCCTTGTACCAAGTAATGTTACTTATAATAACATGATACTTGCCTACTGTAAAGTGGGGAATATGGATATGGCACATACTATATTTTCAGAGATGGTTGAACGGGGCTTTAAACCTAATACCATCACATATTCTATGTTAGTTGATGGGCATTTCAGTAAAGGTGATGCTGAACGGGCCTTAGATGTGTTTTATGAAATGGTGGGTGTGCATATTGCCCCCTCAGACTACACATTCAACATAATCATCAATGGTTTGAGCAAATTTGGTCGTACATGTGAGGCTAGTGATATGTTGAAGGGTTTTGTCCAGAAGGGTTTTGTCCCTTCATGTATGACATACAATAACATTATTAATGGATTCGTTAAAGAGGGTGCCATGGACTCTGCCTTGAGAGTTTATAGAGAAATGTGTGAAAATGGAATTTCTCCCAATGTTATCACATATACCGCCATGGTGAATGGATTATGCAAAAGTGAAAATGCATTACGAAATGAAAATCAAGGGTCTTCAATCGGATGTTCCCGCATTCAGTGCCCTCATTGATGGGTTTTGCAAGAAGCGAGACATGGTCCGAGCATGTGAGCTTTTTTCCGAACTCCAGCAAGTTGGGTTATCTCCTAATGAAATTCTTTACAGCAGCATGATTAGTGGGTTTAGGAATGTAAAGAATATGGAAGCAGCTAACGACTTGCACAAGAAAATGATAAACGAGGGAATTCCTTGTGATCTACATATTTACACTACACTAATTGATGGATTTTTGAGACAGTAAATTAATTCTTGCTTCTGATCTATACTCAGAGATGCTTGCCAAGGGTATTGTGCCTGATATGATCACTTATACTGTTCTGTTAAATGTTCTTTATAATTAAGGGCAGCTTGAGAATGCTAACAAGATTTTGAAAGAGATGGATCGCCAGGGCATTACTCCTAACGTTCTTATATAATGCTTTGATTGCGGGACACTTCAGAGAAGGGAATCTAGAAGAGGCTTCGAGATTGCATAATGAAATGCTTGATAGAGGTCTTGTACCTGACGACACGACTTATGATATACTTGTAAATGGAAAAGCCAAGGGCGAAAATCTGCCTTCTGGAGTTTCATAAGCATAAGTAGCCAACAAATTTGTTCTTTTAAAATGTTCCATATGTTAAATTGATCTGGAAGAATATTGAAGAAAAGCTTACAGGGAACTCCAGGTTTGTGTATGGTTGGCCACGTCAACCTCCTGGTTGTCGGGTCACGTCGGATCTATATAATAAGCTGCAATCTTCAAATGATATGGTAATAATTCCTTCCCTTGAAAGTGACTTTTGACTAGTAGTTCTGAATTGCTTTTAGAATTGTGATGTTGTATCAATAAATTTTTTGAAACCCAAGTCCATCTTTTTGCTTGGTCAGTTTGTTTAGTTATGTTGCGAACTAGTGATGTTAATTTTCTTCTCTATGCCTGCCTCTTGCTTATATAGATAAAATGTTCGGTATCTGCATGCGAGTTCCGCCGCAAATCCTCATGTTCTTTTCCTGTTTACTTTTGATAATTAGTTGATGTCACCATGGATAGAAGACGCTGTAGTTCCGCTAGAAACACCATGGTTAAGCAGAGATATGGTCTGAATTCTCTAGGGAAGGAAAAAAGATTGAGTTGCAGTGCTTGTGAGCTTATATTCTTTCTACATTAGTCCCTATTTTAAACTCCTTCAAATTCGGAGTTCAATGTTAAAAGTTAAACTTCCATGCTTTATGTAAATGTAAGACATTTGACTTAAGAAATCTGTATGGCTTGATTGAAAGCATTTGATGATAATTTTGGATAGGGATGAGTATTTGATCGAGTTGAGCTGAGTGAAAAAAAAATTTAGTTAACTAAGTTTACAAGTAACATTTTATCATTTAGATTCTATTTGAATTTTTTAGTCGAATTTATGAAATTTAGATTTTCTTTTTCATGTGTAATTAAGATTTGTAATATTTAATAAATTAAATATCATCTAAAATTAGATAATATATTTATAATTTTTTTAAAAGGATGGATTTTGAGGACAAAGTGATGGGAGTATAAAAGAGTCAAATAATTGATTTGGAAGAAAGAATTTGTAAAGTTACAATTTGAGGATCTATTTGAATAAATATAAAATTGAAGAGTTGAATTATAAGAAGAGAAATTTTGTTGTAAAAAAATTAGTTAAGTTATATATGTATTTTATAGTGGTAAAGGACATGTGGTTCAAAATTAACGAAAAATAAAGGTAAAAGAAAAGAAAAATTGAAGAAAAATATCGTGTAAAAAAATAACTAAAAAAATTTAAAATGAAAGATAAATCTTAGAATAAAATCGTGTAAAGTTGAGGGTAGAGTGGTGTTTCTTCTATAGCTGTTGACTGTATATAATTATTATATTATTATATTGTATTGTATATAATATTATTTAATTCTGAATTAATTAACTTATTTATTAAATATATGAATCCGTTAAATATCAAATCTAGATAATTTTAACTGATCACTTGTGACAGAGAGACTAGTAGTCTGGTAGTCCACATGCTTCGTTGCCGGTGACGGATCTAATAAATTTCTAGGGTGGGTCGATGCACATTTTAGAATCCGAATTTTCTTCGAAATACCGCATACCCAGCGAATATAGACACCCAACCCGAGGCACGGTGTAGGCACATGGTATCGATCTTATTGTATTAAAATGAAAGGCCTCATCCAAGAATCTCGATGATTGTACATCGGATATGGAGTGGTGGTGGTTGTGGATGAGCTCTCGATCTGACATTAGTTTCTTCGGAACAGAAATGGATGATGATGATTGGTGAGGTGGTAGAAACACATCCAACGACTCTCGAGGTGGATCTTCATGATCAACAACAACGGAACTACTATTATTCCTATTCACTGCCATTTTAACGAGGGATGAATTTGGTTGTTGGCTAAGTATTGGAAACGAGAAACCAGAATTCCCTGAACCATTACTTATCATATTATAGGGTGCTCTTGCTGTTGTTGTTTGTATCTCTCGCCGTTTCTGATCATCTACCTTGAGCTTTGGTTCAAACTCAAGGGTTGTTTCATCTTTGGGCTCAACTTGAACAGACTTCTTGCCGGAGAAGAGCCAGATGGTCGCCAAAGCCATAGCCATCGTTTTTACCATGCCCTTTTCTCTTGTCATCGGTTGTGGTCATAGAAACTGCAATGGCACCAGTCTTGCTATTCCAGCTAGCCTCAGATGAAGGTGTTGGTGTTGAGTGCAAGGAACGAACTCGGAACGTCCTCCCATAACCATCGGCGGCAGCCAAGGCAGAATTATCTCCTCCGGCTCCGTGCTCTTATGAAACATGAACCAGATTTGGTATATTAAGTTGGGACACTCTTTTGCACACTCTAGGATCGCCGTTGCTTTCATTGAAGTAGCTTTTGGCATAAAAAATACTAAGCTCTATCTTCATCATAAGATAATTCGACTCCATTAATCGTTTTCATAAAAAAAGCATAGAATTAATGAATGTCTGAGAGTGGAATTGCCTCTGAAATTCCATGTTTTGCAGGTATATATAGAGGTTTGGTACAGGGTTTGTCCAAAAACACCAATCATGCATAATAATGCACATATACTACCTCCAGCAGTGAATGTTATAGCAAATGAGGAAGTCAACATTCCGTGATTTTTTTTATTTCGATTCAACTTTTATCCACAGCCACATGATCTAAGAATACTGGACCTACAGTAGACGTCAGTGAGCAGATAATTCACGACCATCAGAATTTCCAACATGTCAGGGAAAATAATTTTTATGTATTCCCCACAGGAACCGTCCGATATATAGTCTTTTGTTTTCACGGTATTCCTTGATAAAAATAGTGGTCCATTTTATTTTAGATATGTATTAATTTGATAGGGTTAAATATTGAAAGGGATAAAAATTTATTAAATATTTAAATTTAAAAATCTATGTTTGATTAATATTTAGATTAACAATGATCTAAAATATTATTCTATAAAAAAATTGAAGGGTCACTGTCCCTAATAAATGATTCCTTAATTATTTTGATTACCAGTTTTAAAAAATTTATTCTGATCACTTTTAGTTTTTATCTGTCTTATTTTGATCATTAAACTATTAACTCTAATAAATTTAATGGCATGACACGTTAATAAAAATGTTTAAATTTTAATTAGACTTCTAAATTATAGAAAAAATGTTAATTTAATTGTAAATTTAAGATAAATTATTAATTTAACTATTAAACTTTAGATAAAACATCAATTTAACGTCTAAATTCGATTAAAATCCCTTACAGTCGGCTGCCTCTCATCACTATCGTCAATTGTCGCCATTGATTACCGTCAATTGCCATTGTTTACCGTCAATTGCCATTGTTGGACCCAAAAACTATAAATTCACTCTTTCTTGATTTACTAAACATGACTCCAATATCCATTTTATCAATAAATATCTTGAGTTTCACAAATCTAATTTAAAACTCTTCAAATTCTTTTAAATATATATTATAGTATTCATGTTATAATAATAATAATAATTTCATTTATATAAATTTTGAAAATTATATATTAACAAAAATGAAAAATCATATAAACATCAGTCTCAGTCAAATGGGAATATTTCTGAAATCTCATTTTTTTAATAATATAAAATAATGATCGAGGAAATATATTTTTCTTCTATATATTTCGTATTAAGCATTCCATATAAATAATATATTTGGTAAGTGACATAAGACACAAATCAGTACTTAACCAAAGTTATAAGAACAAAATGAGTACAAAGGGTTACTTCCATTTACAGAGCACAAGATAGTACATTTGTATGTCCAGAAATTTAATGACAACAGCAATTTGCAGAATACAAGACTCAAGTTGCTCAACTTTACCATTTGGATTTACCAAAAATGCTATTCTTACTATGACATATATTTGCTTGAATAGTGAGAACAACATAGAGAGTGGGTGCACACAACTGGAAGCCAATGACCCATCAAAATATACTCTTGAAAGAGAATCTTTAAATGAGAACAGAAACTCACACGTGCATCAACAACCTTGAGACTTCAGTATAATATCTCTGCCTCCAGAGTCTATGATATGGCCCTCAGGTTCTGCTCTTCAGCAGTTTCAGCACCAACTAACTTGGATGGTAACTGGATTATAGAGATAGTATAAGAGAGCAACATACATAATCAAAGACTATAATCCATCTTATTATCTTGAGAGAGCAAATGAAACTTGCATGCTAAATTAGAAACTATCAAATTCATAGTACTAAATTGTGGTGACAGTGTTTATTGCGAATATAGATGTGGTTGCAGTGTATCGATAATATTGAAAATTATTATGGTATGAACCGTACGTCGTGGTAACCTTAAAAATAAATTTTTTATGATGCGATCAATATTTTGCGTACCAATCATAATTGAATAATATGACTAAATCATGATATATCTCTGGAGATATTCTCCGAAAACAATTAGTTCTCCGCTACTTAAATCCTTTGGATAAACTCTTTCAAAGCTTCCAAAAAAATCCATATCCTACCGACATGTAAGTATCATAGCCTTCTGCAAAGTCAAAAGGTGGGGAAGGGGGGGCACCGCACAGCTGAAGTTTTCAACAAAGGCGGTGCCCCAATTTTTTTTATTGAAATAGAAATAGGGTTAATTACAATATTAGTCTCTAAGCTCCAACTATAAATACTTAACCCATTTAGCTTCAAAATCATCCCAAAATCATTTATTCCTCACAATACTAAAGAGTTTAGAGAGTTCTCTTGTGAGTTGTGAGTGTTTTTGTAAACACCTGTAAATTTTCTCTTTAGTAAAAGATCTGCAGCAGTCCTGAGACGTAGGCGTAATTGGTTGAACTCCGTTATCAATTTCGTGTATTATTTTTTCGCTTTTATTTCGCATTCTCACTAATCTGGTTAAAGGGAAATTACTCGTATTCAGTTTATTTCCCAGTAACTGGTAATCAGAGCTTTTGGTTGTGAATTTTGTCAAATTTTTGCGAGGTTACTAATCATTACTATTCATGTGAATAATAAATTTTGTGAATAGTAAAAACTTTGTCGGCGATACAAATTTATCGACGAAGGTGTTCTAATACACGGTGGTTCGCAAGAATTGTCAGAAACGATCCAAACGAAGCCAGATTCGAGTGGGGAAGATGGTTGCAAACGAAGGGAATGTGAAAATTTAGAAGTTCAATGGTGCAAACTTTGGCTTTTGGAAGATGCAAATTAAAGATTTTTTGTACCAGAAAAATCTATATCAACCTCTCTCAGGAAAGCAACCAGAGGGCATGAAGAATGAAGACTGAGCTCTTCTCGATAGACAAGCCCTCAGAGTTATCCGACTGACGTTATCCCGCAATGTTGCTTTCAATATAGCAAAGGAAAAGACCACGGCTGGTCTTATGACGGCTCTCTCCAGTATGTATGAGAAGTCATCAGCCTCAAACAAAGTTCATTTGATGAGACGATTATTCAATTTGCGGATGGCGAAAGGGGCATCATTGGCTCAACACCTAAATGAACTCAACACAATCACAACTCAGTTGAGTTCCTGTGGAAATTGAATTCGATGATGAAGTTTGAGCTTTAATTCTCTTATCATATCTACCAAACAGTTGGAATGCTACTGTTACAGTAGTCATCAGCTCGTCGAGAAACAACAAATTGAAATTCGACGATGTTCGGGATCTGGTATTGAGTGAAGAAATTCGACGGAGAGAATCGAGTGAAACATCAACCTCCTCAGCCTTGCACACGGAGTTTAGAGGGAGAACTTCAGAAAGAAATTCAAATCGTGGCAGATCGAAATCCAGAAGGGGAAAATCAAAAACGAGAAAGAAAGATTTTACTTGTTATAATTGTGGCAAGAAGGGTCACTTTAAAAGAGATTGTCGAGCACTGAATAAAGATATTGGCGCACAGGAATCTGCCAACATGACAGAGGAGACATGTGATGCCATGATTCTAAGCGTCAACAGTCCGATTGAATTATGTATCTTGGATTTAGGGGCATCTTTCCACTCCACCCCATGCCAAGAAATCACGGAGAACTATGTCAATGTTGATTTTGGGAAGATTTATCTAGCTGATGATAAAACCTTGAAGATCGTCGGAAAAGGAGACATCCGACTAAAGTTGTCAAAACAGACCACTTGGAAGCTGAAAGGAGAAACATATTCCAGGCCTCAAAAGAAATTTAATTTCTGTAGGACAGCTTGATGGAGAATGATATATAATACAACCTTTTCAGGCTGTGAATAGAAGATTACCAAATGAGCACTCGTCATTGCTCGTGGTAAGAAGACTGGTACTCTCTATGTAACCTCAAATTTAGAGAATATTATTGCAGTAGCATATGCTAATGGAAAATCAAACCTATGGCACCAAAGGCTTAGCCATATAAGCGAGAAAGTGATGAAGACACTTTTGTCAAAAGGGAAGTTGCTGGATCTAAAGAATGTAGATGTCCGGCTATGTGAAGATTGCATATTTGGCAAACAAAAGAAAGTCAGTTTTGCAAAGATTGGCAAGACACCCAAGGCTGAAAAGTTAGAGTTGGTTCATACTGATGTATGAGGACCATCTTCAGTTCCATCTCTTGCAGGCTCATATATTATGTCACATTCATTGATGATTCTACAATGAAGGTGTGAGTTTATTTTCTGAAGAATAAATCAGAAGTCTTTGATATATTCAGAAAATGGAAGGCCATGGGAGACTGGTCTGAAAGTCAAACAGTTAAGGTATGATAGTGGAGAAAAGTAAAAAAATAGCAGATTCAGAGATTTCTGAGCAAACAATGGGATCAAGATGGAGACAACAGTTCCTATGACACCGCAGCAGAATGACGTAACAGAGCGTATGAACAAAACTTTAAATGAACGTGCCAGAAGCATGGAGATACATGCTGGCTTGCCTAAATTGCTATGGGCTGAAGCTATCAACACTGCAGCTTACCTGATCAACCGTGGGCCCTTAGTTCCTTTGGATGGCAGAATACCAGAGGAAGTTTGGAGCAGAAAAGAAATAAAACTTTCACACTTTTGTTGTATTTCTTATGTATATATAAATTCTGCTGAAAGAAGTAAACTTGATGCCAAGTCCAACAAATGTGTCTTTGTTGGTTATGGTGGTGATGAGTTCGGTTACCAGTTTTGGGACTACGAAAATCGGAAGATCATCAGAAGCAAAGATGTAATTTTCAATGAGAATGTGATGTACAAAGACATGTTAACCATAGAATCAAGTAGCTCCAATACCGAAGCTGAAACAAAGGAATTTGCTAAGTTCGAGGAGATTTCTGGAAATGATGTTCAGATCAGTCTTGAAGCAGTTCAAGAAGAACCAGACACACCAGAACTAAGACGCTCCTCTAGAATTCCTAAACCAACCCAGCGTTATTCGCCTTCTATGCACTACTTGTTGCTGACTGACAATGGTGAACCAGAGTGCTATGATGAAGCAATGCAGGTGGAGGATTCAGTCAAGTGGGAGTCTTTCATGAAAGATGAGATGAACTCACTTATGTCAAATCAGACGTGAGAATTAGCTGAATTACCACCAGGCAAGAAAGCACTCCATAACAAGTGGATTTACAGGATCAAAGAAGAGCACGATGGGAGCAAACGCTACAAAGCAGTCAAATGGATCCTCAGATATCTGTGGGGTACTACAAACAAAGCACTTTGTTTCAAAGGTGGAGATACGATACTGACAGGCTATGTAGATGCTGACTTAGCCGGAAATATTGACATCAGAAGGAGCACTACATGGTATGTCTATACTCTAGGAGGAACCGCAGTGAGTTGGGTTTCACAACTACAGAAGATGGTTGCTCTCTCCACAACTGAAGCAAAATATGTCGCTGTTACGGAAGCCGGCAAGGAGATGGTTTGACTCTAAAGTTTCTTGGAAGAGTTAAGCAAGAAACAAGAAAATAATGTCTTGTATTGCGACAGTCAAAGTGCTATCCACCTAGCAAAGAATCCGTCTTTTTATTCCAGGACAAAGCACATACAATTGCGATATCATTTTATCTGGTCTCTTCTGGAAGATGGGATTTTGAAACTTGAAAAGATTAGTGGAGCTCAAAATCTTACAGACATGTTGACAAAGATGGTGACTACGGATAAATTGAAGTTGTGTTCAGCTTCAGTTGGCATGCTAGAGTAACAAGACCAGAAATACTGCTGCATCGATCGAGGTGTGAAGATAGATTAAAATCAGTCTTCAAGTGAGATATTGTAAAGTCAAAAGGTGAGGAAGGGGGGACACCGTACGACTGAAGTTTTTAACAAAGGGGGGAACCGAATTCGGTGCCCCAATTTTTTTATTGAAATAGAAATAGGGTTAATTACAAGATTAGTCCCTAAGTTCTAACTATAAATACCATAACCCATTTAACTTCAAAATCATCCCAAAATCATTTCTTCCTCTCAATACTAAAGAGTTTAGAGAGTTCTATTGTGAGTTGTGAGTGTTTTTGTAAACACCTGTAAATTTTCTCTTTAGTAAAAGATCTACAGCAGTCCGGAGACATAGGCGTAATTGGTTGAACTCCGTTATCAATTTCGGGTATTATTTTTCCGCGTTTATTTCGCATTTTCACTAATCTGGTTATAGGAAAATTACTCGTACTCAGTTTATTTCCCAACACCTTCAAATCAGCTAAAGTGCATAGAAAAACCTCGAACAAACTCATTTAACCTACCAGAGCGAAATCCAAGATCTGACTACCATATCTATTTAGCCTATTGACTTATAAATAGTAACCATAATTTCATATGTTTTATATATAAGACCAACTAGAGCCACTAAAAATAACCCTTAGCCACAATCAAAAAGAGACCCCTTTTCTTGATTTCTTCTATCTCGAACTTAGAACAATCTCCTCTCTCACACTGCATTTTTCCTCCTGTCTCTCAAAGAAAATCACTAAAACACATTTGTTACATCAACAAATCACATTCCATAATTTGATGGCATTAACTAAAAAAATAATGTGGAACGTTTAATTTTAAACTTTTTTCTTTTTAAATGCACATTATGAATCATGCTTACACAAACGGCAAAATCAACGATATAATGTTGTTGGAAAAAAAATTTCACGAGATAATATGTTCCAACAATTAATTGTTGAGATAGGGTGAAATATACAGTTCGAACGTATGTCGCCAGACGCTCCGGGCGACCAAGGAGGTCGCCATGCCGTCCCTGCGAGCTGTTGTTACCTGCTGCATTACCTATATCGGTAATTAGGCTTTTACCCAAAACCCTAAACTAACTAACAATCTCGCCAATTTGGTCGCCGGTATCACATGGCGACCTATAAGGTCGCCCGGCATACATGGCGACCTTTACGCATGACAATTACCTAAATTTCCCTAAGTAACAATGATTTCCTATTTCGGTAATTAGGCTTTTATCTGAAACATAACAACCTCCATTTCAGCAGGGCGTGCATGACGATCTTCAAGCATGCAAAGTGCAACAGCTCACCACAGCTCGCAGGGAAAGCATGGCGACCTCCTTGGTCGCCAGGAGCGCCTGGCGACATATGTTCGAACTGTAGATTTCACCCTATCTCAGCAATTAATTATTAGAACGCATTATCTCGTGAATTTTTTTTCTCCAAATTCCAACAACATTATCTCGTTGATTTTGCCTACACAAATTATGTTACTCGGGATTTTTTAACATGTGTGCATGTGGATGCACGTTTCAGAAAATTGAATTCCAGAAATATTTAGTATAAAGTTCTACGAATAAAATTCTGTTATATGCAGCATGTAAAGAATTGCATATGTGTGTTCATTATTGTTTCTCTAACATTATGGGTAAACACGATTTTGATGAAACGACATTAACATGAAACTGAAGTTTAGCCTAATTGTACATTGAATAAAAGAAACGAGAAGCAAGAAACTTCCATGTAAGATAAGCAAGATAATCTTTAAGTAGAATCAACCTGAAAACTCGAGAAGGAATCATTAGGATCAACAGCGGTGCAATCAAGGGGAGTCTCGAACAAAGAGAAGGAGAACTGTTTGTTAACGACGCCGACATCAAAGTTGATCAAACCGGAGGCTGGATCATCGACGCGTATGCCAGTGACGGGAAACCATAGGAAAAGCTCCTGCTGGAACACACCGGACAAGTTCGCGATCTTCCCGAAAGATAAGGGTCCGGTGATGTTTAAATCGTAATGGAATTGGATCTCGGAGTCGGAGTTACAGGGTTGAGTTAGGTTCACTTGGAAACGGTTCGTCTCGGGATCAGTTGAAAAATCTGTTACTCCCTTTGGTAAGATACCCTCAGGGAGACCGTTGTGTTTCAAGTGGTCGTAGATTGAAGGAGGTGATGATGATTGGGCGGCGAGAAAATTAAGAAATAGAAAGAAAATCAGGAGAAGAACGGGAAAGAGAGAATAATTTGTAATTCCCATGATTGGGGTTTATTTCCTCCCTCTTTTCCCCCAAAAATAAAGCTATCTTTTGTGTTTCTTAGATCGCTGATGATGCTTCGATTGATTTAAGGATGAAGAAAGAGACAGACAGAGAGAAACGGAAACTACAAAGAACGGTTATTTTCGAAGGGTTTGGATTTTATTGGGCTGTTTCGTGAAGATGTTAAGCACGCGCCCTTTTCTCGTGTGGAAATATTTTTTCCAAATTACTACATCGATGGAATTCCGACCATTTTATCTCTTCTCTCTATTACTGGGCGTCATCCTCCATCTCTCAATTCAACAATGTCTGCTTCTCATTGGCATGGGAAAAAGCTGTCAGTTCGAAATCAATAATCTTAGTTCTCCATATGCACCTGGCATCAACAAATGTTATAAGCTCAACAAATGATTAAAATCTCAATATATTTGCTCATGAAAGTGAAACTGGAAAAGATAGCTATCGAAAACAATAAATTTATTCAACAAATGTTGTTCATCCACAACAACAGAGGGAAGAAGCACCAATACAGACTTTTTTTAGGCAGGAACAAAAACGATAATCAAAAGGGCATTTTTTATATTCGACACACGAATAAAGTCCCATTAATCAAACAGCATCCCTTCAACGAGTTTGAGAAGAAAGTATAATGAAGATGAACCCAAGGTAAATGAAGCTTTTGGGGCCTTCCCCAGTATTTTCTTTAGATCAACAAGCATTACAAACTATATATTTCGTACCAAAAATGCAAGATCCAGGACATCTAAAATCTTGAGAGCTAGAAGTAGAGGGTTTTGTTTGATGGGCTTGAAGAAATACAGACTTATAATCATGTTATAGGGTCATCTTCTATGCATTAACATCAAGTGTACCATGAGATTGGATCAATAAGATCTTTCTCGCAATATTGACTTAACTTGTCAACTTTTGGTTGACAATACCTCAATATTCTGGTTTTTATCCCTACCTGGAGCATCACCAGTTGGTGGACATTCATATAGTCCTCGAAAACCTCAGCTATTGCCCTTGTCCACCCCTTACCATTGCATCCAGTGATATCCCCCTTTGATGCTATGATGGCGTGCATGTTTTTAAATTTCTCAACGACCGCCAACGTCAACTTGTTTTCCTCATCATCGGAACTAGACTTTTGACTTGGCTGCTGGCTCGATATCAACCATGCAGCGGCGTTCGTCTCCGCCACAACATTGTCACTCTCTGGAGAAACACATCACTCCGTGGATCCTTTCGATGAGTCCTCTTTCTCTCCATGGTTATTATCCTCAACATATACATTTGGGTAAGCAGATGCAACCCATGGTTTAAAATTACAAGAACTAGGAATTCGTCTCGTTCAGTGATAAACTTACGCTGCAGATCGACAAGAACACAGATTCGTGGAAAATAAGAAAACAATGTTCTTTAAACCAAATGATGGAACCCTAAAACAAATCAAAACAAAGCTACAGGTGAAATTTACCAGAAATAGAAAAATAAAACAAAATAGATAACTTTTAGTTGCTTAAGACGGGAAATGAAAAACAAGTGTTCATGCAACTAAAAAACTAGGCATGAACGAAGAAGAACTTCGCTTTGCCAGGTGCATATGGAGAACTAAGATTGCTGGTTTCGGACTGACAACTTTTTTATGTGCCGATGAGAAGCAACTGTTGTTGAAATAGGAGATGGAGGAGAAAGACATCAGAGTTGAGAAGGAGCTCGAAGATGAACAGGTTGGAGATTGGACACAACAAAAGAAAGGAGGTTCGGTAGTGTCTGCTAGGAAACTTGCTGATGAATTTTAGAGGTTGCAGTCGCCGAAGACGGTGACGCCCAGTGATAGAGAGATGAGGAACAAAAATGAGATTTTAGCATGTTTTTGGGCTGCTCGGTTTCAAATAAAGAAGTTAATGTATTAATCCATGTCATAACATTTACATAATTAACGGTGGAATGATAAAAAAAACTTAATATATAAATTTTAGTGATTAAATTGAAAAAATTAAAAGTACAAAAAATAAAATAGGAGAGAGTAAAATTTAATGAGTAAATTTATAATTTACCCTAAAAAATATAAGGTAAAGTACACCTTTAGTACCTAAATTATTACTTTTGTTCTATTTTGATACCCAATTTTGTTTTTCAAAACTATACATAACGTTTAGTTTATGTTTTATTTTGGTACCTAAATGTTCAAAAAGTAACATAAATGTCGATATTATATATATTTTTAATTTTTTCAATAATAATGTGACATTATCTTGTTTTTGGCTTTTATATATAAAAGGGTCTCATATATCATTTTACCTATTTTTAAATATTATTTGGGTAATGATTTTATCATGAAAGTAAGATTATTTTACTGTATGGTTGTCCTTATAATAACATACATGGTGAGGATGACATTGTTAACAACCTTTAAATATATTAGTTATAGTTTATTTAGTTAGGTGCACAAATGGTTCATTGACTATAGGGAAATCATGAAAGTAAGATTATTTTACTGTATGGTTGTCCTTATAATAACATACATGGTGAGGATGACATTGTTAACAACCTTTAAATATATTAGTTATAGTTTATTTAGTTAGGTGCACAAATGGTTCATTGACTATAGGGAGATGCTTTATTAAGTCTATCGACTATTAAAAATTATAAAATGATAATTTGATTATTCAAATGTTTCAAACTAATCATTTTTCGTTGAAAAATGACAATCATCTGAGTTGGATGTTGACATCCTGATTGAGATATCATAATCTTTTGAGAATTTGAGATTATATTTTATCATATCCTAGTTAGTAAGTTAACGTATGCCGCCATCAATTTTTTAACATAAAAGGGTGGATTTCAAACATATGAATAGTTCGGTGACCATTTTGTAACTTTTAATAATTGGGGCACTCAACAAAGCAATATCCTATAATTAATAGATTGTAACTTTTAATATTCATATGAATTAATAAAATAATATCCTACGGTTGAGGGATTATTTATATACTTTATCCTAATAACATAAACATTGTATTGGAAGAATGATAAGTCAATTATGATAAAGTTTATTGATCACATGTTACTTATGATATATGATAAGCTTTATTTAGTTTATCTTATATGCTATTGATTACTTAATATCTACATACGAAATTTGATTATTAATCTAAACTAGAAGTTCTCGAGGTCTTAACTTTGTTTAACTAATAATTTCGTTTTATTCCATTAAACGAATGCAACAATATGCATATTAAAGATGCACAATTGTAGAGGTGATAAATATAATGATAATCATCATCATCATCATCATTATAATAGTGATCATAAAATTATTCTCATCATTAGACATGAAAATATACAAATAAAAAATGAAATTACAAGAGTTTTAAAAAATAACTAATAATTTTTTACTTGTATGAAGAGGGAAGGAGATTTAGTAATAGCTATTAAACTCATAACTTTATAGATTGTTAACAGTTATAGAATTTTTTTTAATATAATTATCATATTTACTCTTGTTATTTTATATATTTGTTTTCTCTATTTATGATAATTTTTACAATAATCTTTTATATTTATTGTAACATATTTTTAAAAATTTAGTTGCTTCAAATTTATAATTAAATATGTTTCTCAATCCAAATCAATACTTATAACTTCTTAATTAATTTAAATTATAAAATCAAATATACTTATTTGATTATATTAAAATTAGATATTAATCTGAATATATAAGTGCAGGATCCAATTAAATTAGATGTAAAATTTTTAATTTTACAATTTTTAAAATCATTAGATGAGAAAAATTAAAAATTAAAAAAAAAAGAAAAGAAAAAAATATTTATTGAAGAAAAAATAAAAATTAATCTCGATATTTAATTTCATTATTCTTACTATCGTAAGAAAACGTAAAATTAAAAACTTTATACTTTTTGCTTTACGGGGATAAAAAGAGTTCAGCTCTCAAATTCAACCTTAAACAAGAGGTAAAGTTGTACATTTACTCATTCTAGATTTACGAGGATAATAAAGTAATAATGCAACCAAACCCTAACAAAATTTATTTCCACTTTTAAAGCCCTCATTCCTCTCAGCCCCGTTCCATTCCATAAGACGGTTCCTTCTTCTCACGAATCCTCAAGATACGCAATCTTCCTTGGGCTCTTGGAGGTACGTAGTAGAGGTAAGCATTAAACGCGCCTCATGTCATTGATTTATTGTGATCATGATTTTCCACTTTTTAATCATGAAATTAGCTCATCGTGTCCACTTTCTGCTAATTTGCAAGGCTTCCATGGCGCTTCCAAGTTTTTGCATCTTTCTAAGTTACTATTGTTATTATTATTTTGAGATGAAATTAGCTATTAATTAAAGTTACAAATAACAAAATGTAGGAATCTGGTGAAGTTCTCTTGGACATGATTTGAATTGTTTAATTACCTTTCTTTCTTTCATTCCTTTTCTCTTATTTTATAGCGTTTTTCTGTGAGCCAGATCTAAAACATATCCTTTAATCCCCTCCAATTTGGGTTTTCTGAATGTTTTGAACTTAGATTTTTGAGGTTGGTCTGTGATTTTATTTTTGTATGGTGGAACTTGTTTATTGTTAATCGCAAGTAAAGTACAATTATAATTTTGTTTGAAATAAGTCGGCTTTGATTGAGGATCAATGAGATAATGTATTTAACTGTTATTTTTCTATCTATTTCGGGTAGGGTTTGAACAGCAGAATAAAATTTATCCTCTTTTTTTATTGGTTTCATCCAGTTCCTTACAATTTACACGCTCTGCCAAGTTTAGTTGATTTGTTCCCGGATACTGATAAAATCTGTGCTGGATTTTGAATACTTGGTTTAAAACTAGTTTGACGGAGAACAATAATATGAGATGTGTAAAACAATTGGTTTTCTTGTTTTTCAACATTTCTAGATAATATGTACTTTTTTGAAGCTTTTGTGCAGTGAGCATTTTCTAAAATTACTGAACTAATTGCTTCCTTCTTATAATGTAGTAGGTTTACCCTAAAAATTCCGCAAGAGTTGAGGAAAAACAAACCAACTTTTTTCAATGGCATCTAGAGTTTCCCTAAAAACTAAAGGCAAGGGAGGGAAGGGGTCTAAGAGCTCGGATGAGAAATCAGCTGCACAGTGCCTGAAAGAGTGGAGCACATGGACTATGAAAAAAGCCAAAGTGGTAACACACTATGGCTTCATTCCTCTGGTGATCATTATCGGCATGAACTCTGAACCAAAGCCCCAACTTTATCAATTGCTAAGCCCTGTCTGATTAAATTTGTTCTTTTGTAATCTCCTGATCTTGGTGTAACTATGTAATTGGTTGTTGCCTATTTGTCGAAAGTACATGGTATCATGTTAGAGGCTTGTCGCTTACATGGTGTTGGTTGTTTTATGCCTATGAATAATCATGAGCGGTACATTTTATGAAATTTTGAATCTTATTTTCTTTTCCTCGTTTCCATCGTCACTTGTGGTTTTTATGCATGCAGCTGAGCTACAAATTGGACAACTAATCAAATGTTAAGTTGAAATGGCTTTTCTATTTTGGCCTCTGGTGTTCATAGTTTGAGTAAAGTTTCTTTTTATACTTGTATGTATGATAATATAATAGTTTTCTCAATATGCTCCTGTAGTTTTCGTAAGTGGCATTGTATAGATCGATAGAGGGCAAGTGAGGGATTTTGTTATAAAATCTTAGACATTGAACTTTGATTACACAAGCTTTTGTCTTAGGTTTTCAGTTCCTTTCGATTTGTGTAACAATCGAATGACTAGGTTAGTTTAGTGGAAGTGGAGGTGCCTTGGAAAAAGAGTATTTGGTATGATCAGAGTTGGTAGATATTGTCTTCTCAATACCCCATTTTCCCCAATTTGAGATGTTTTAATGTATTGAGGTAATTGAGCTGTGTTTCTGTCTGTTAGCTTGGTAATATGCTTATAGTTTTGGATTATTTTGTATGAACTTGTTATGAATTTAGTGATGAAATTGGTATATATGCTGCATCTCTTATTTCACACTTGAATATCATTGTCCATCATGTTTGCTTCATTTTGCCGTTCTGTTATTACGCTCTATTACAGTGTAGCTGCCAAGATTCTATATGATATACATATTGTATATAAGAATGTTTTTGTATTTTCATATTTTCATATAATATTTAAATGGTTATTATTTCAAGCAATGACAGTGAAAAAAAATTATTCTACAAGCATATCTATTTGAATGTCATTTGACATATTTAAGTGACTCTGAATCTTAACCTTTTGGTGTAGTTCTTATAAATTGAGTTGCTACAACTATTCTGGACTTTTTTTTTTAGATTCAATGTGATATTAAACATGTAGAAAAATATTTAAAAATTGTAAAAAAAAACATAAAAAAAACATAGATAAAAATGTAAGAGAGAATGAATTCGTGTGATGATAACATGAAAATGATGACGTAGAATAGAACATATAATGTTATAATGATATTGATTATTGTTGATCAATCAGTGAATCATCAGTTAAAAGTAATCAATGATTTACAATCATTAATCTATAGTTAATCAATTAAACTAAAAGTTAACAAATACCATATATAAAAATGTCATATCATGGATGTCAAAGTTATTAATAACATGGACAAAAAAATCACATGCTACATCCTAATAAATTACACACGTCAAATGAAGATTTTGGACCGTGTAAACAACATTGAATTATTATTATTATCCTATGTTGTATTTAAAATTTTAAATCTTAAATTTTAGTCTTTCAATTTTAGATTATAAACTCAACATATATAATATGAAAACTTCACTTGTATAGTATTTTTTTGCCAACAGCCGTATATGTGCTAAATGTAACACCCCAACCCGTATCCAACCCGGATCCGAGTCCGAGGTGTCACATTGACTTTTCAAAACTCTTTTCTTTACAAATCCACCAAAATCTTAAATTCATTATTTGAGAAAATGAGTATTTTTTAGAAATAAATATAATCAAATTGTTTTACAAAACAATCAGAGCATATTCAATCCAAATCTTGTAACTACATGCCAACTAAATTCTATAAAACAAAATACATATACTCCATATGTTTCTGATCTGATATTCGTAAGGAAGATGCTGACATGTCTTGCTCCTCTTAGCTTCACTTCTCGCTTCTGTAACCTACATATGAAACAATCACACGCTAAGTCGATGACTTAGTGAGGCATAAATAAACTGACTATAGCATATCTTAACTAATACCTATTATGCACATTTCATGTAATCATAATAAACTATAGAATGCATCCAAACATAAACACGTAGTTCATAACACAAAGCATATAAATCGTATGTAATAAATTTATTATTATCTATTTAATAATCTTATATTCGTTCTTTATCTTTAGTAATATGTTCTTGTACCTATTCTTCTTAACCAGGCTATACATATCATCATATCACATATATCATTTCATACCATAAAGATTATAACCAAAGCACATAATATCATACAAGGTTCTTTTATATCATCTTCTTTATTAGCCCATGTACACATGTGAGAACTATAGATATGTGAGTCTATAGAGGTTGTGCACTAATGCTGTCACCACAGCTCGTATAATTGCATCAAAGTGCCACGTAGAATTGCATCGTAGTACCGCGTAGAAATACACCAAAGTGCCATATAAGATGTCCCTAAGGACCACGTAGAAAATTCCTTAAGAACCATATACATATACTAAGAATCAAGTATGTGTCTCAAAAGACCTCACACATGTTCCAAAGAATACATATATGTCCCGAATGACCGCGTAGACCCTCGACTCTTGGCATGCCAACTATACCTCTAGCTCTCTTGACACATAACATGGGCATTAATATTTAGATTATCTCACATTCACATATACATTTAGTCTCATAGTTTTTCCACATATCTCAATATCACATTTCCATAAGATCACACGTGGTCACGTAGTTCATTTCCATATAGTTCAGATGCACATATACTCATATATCTATTATCATTTCTCCTGTAATCACATAGATCACATCTCATAACATACATCATATACATATAATAACTTATCGCATATTATAGAATTTATGGTTTGTACTTTTATACTCACATCATTTATATATTAATTTCATATATTACCTTAGTTCAGTTTCACATAGTTAATCACATATACATGTATTCTCATAAATTATCATCAAATAACTCCTATAACATCTTCCTATGGCTTCATTTAAGCCTATAATTTATTGATAGTCACAGTTGTATGTGGTTTCCTCTTTTCTACAGAACCAAACGCATGGTTTAAATTTTATATAAAATAATTGTGCCAGAATTGGTTTTGCATTATATGTTTTTCCTTTTAGGAAATTTGTTTGTGTAATCTGTGTGATTTCATTATTGTCTCTCTGTTTGCCCCTCTTCTTTTCCCCCTTATTTGGTTCTGAAGTATTTATTCCCTTTTCAACTCTCTTATTTCACATGAAATGTGTGATCCAGATTTTTCTTCCAGTGCTCCTATTTTTCCCATCCTTCCCCTCCACTTTGGGTTCTTAAATTTTACTTTGATTAATTGCATAGGTAGCAAGTTCTTCATCTGTGAAAGATGCGGAGGAGATTTACTTTGATTTCAGGAAGCAGTGCTTCATCTATTCTAAGGAGGAGGATACCTTTTGCAAGCTTCAATATCCTTCCAAGGAAACATTTGGCTATTACATAAAGTGTACCGGCCATGGCTCTGATGCCAAAGTTCTTGATGCAACTGAAAAATGGGGACGTAATGTGTATGTTGCTATCATAATAATTTTCACGCTAGCCTTTCAATTTTTTCTTTTTAATTTGACTTCTTCTGGATATATACGACTATTGAAAGTAACCTTGTTATAGTAGCTTACTGCACTTAGCAATGGTTAATGGTTTTGCTGTTGGATTCTTTGGAGTGTCAATATTCCTTTGCTCTAATGTTTTAATTTTGTTTTTATTCTTACCTAAATTAATTTACAGAGCACAATTCTTTCCCCACTTCAATTTTATATGATTCTTCAGACATATTAGTTGTGAACTTATGATTTCTAAACTACATTTGTTGACTATGACAATCTGGGTTATGTTCTATTTTTTTTATATATTAATATGATTGTTTTATGTTGACATGGATGTGTTTCTATAATACAGATTTGAATATCCACAACCTACTTTTCAGAAATTAATGAAAGAACATTGCATGGAGCCCTTTTTTGTCTCTCAGGTTTTCCCCTTGTTCAAAATGTCTTTAAAATGTAGAGTAATTTTTCCTTGATGACCAAGTTTTTTTTGTGGCATTTTTATCTTGCCTTTTGTAGGTCTTCTGTGTTGGTCTTTGGTGTCTCGATGAGTATTGGTATTACAGTTTATTCACCTTATTCATGCTGTTCATGTTTGAGTCAACAATGGCAAAAGGTCGGTTGAAGACTTTAAGTGAGTTAAGACGCGTCAGAGTGGAGAGCCATACTCTAATAATGCATCGATGTGGGAAGTATGTTTCTGTAAACATCAGCTTTATTGTTTTGTATAGTGTGTGTGTGATTTTTTTCCGCTAATACTGTTACTACTATTACTATTACTATTACTACTATTGTAAAGCTTTTTCAGAGTTTTAGATTTATCATTCAAACTTTGGGAGTTGCAGGTGGGTGAAACTATATGGAACTGATCTATTGCCTGGGGATGTGGTCTCTATTGGTCGCTCATCTGGTCAAAATAAAGAAGATAAGTCTGTTCCAGCAGACATGCTTATACTATCTGGAAGTGCTATTGTGAATGAAGCCATTCTCACAGGCGAGTCTACTCCCCAATGGAAGGTGGATCTCTTCTTCTTAACTCCTCTCATGTTTTCTATTTTAATATTCAACATTGATTTCAAAAAAATAAATAAATAATTCAACATTGATCTCGTAGTATAAACTATTTGATGTTTGGTTGTGTTAAATCTTTGTTGTGGAAGTTCAATTGTTGAATGTAAACTTTCTGTTGTAGAACTAACTATATTTCTCTTTAATGGTTAGTATTGCAATCTTACAAGTTTGACTTGAAAATTTTGTATTGTATAAGCCTACTTCTGCTTTTAACCTTAAATGCTTTCCCTATAGCTTTTGGTTTTATTTTAGATCAATTGGTTTGTATATATGTTGCACTTCATATGGGGTTGTTTTCACATTAATTCTCTCATAGAAGCTAACTAGAGAAATACATTGTTCAGTAGCATTTGAACAGTAACAATTTATACGAGGCAAAACTTTTTTCCTAGGTTTCTATAGCAGTTAGGGGTATTGAGGATAAGCTATCTTCCAAGCGTGACAAGAATCATATTTTGTTTGGTGGGACTAAAATATTGCAGCACACAGCTGATAAGGTAGGTTATACCAAAATTTAGTTATTAACATATCTCATGTTTATTCACTTCATTTATATTTCTAT